TGGGGGAAGGAAGAGAATTAATTTGCTCTCTTTTTTAGACGATGGCAATGTTTTTTTTAAAAGGTTTCCACGATGACTGAAGCAGAAGTCAAACGTCGGTCGAATTTACCCGTGTTTTGCTATTAACATGCGCCTGCTGCTGCAGCAGGAACTTGACCATTTTGATGTTACCATAGTGACAGGCCACGTGAAGGGGTGTGTAGCCCATCTGAAACAAACAAGGAGATACTGAATACAATAAAGACACATTGATAGGGAGCACATAGTGCACACAAGTCCAGAACTGTGTTCATTTACAGTATTTTGAAAAAACCCGCTTCAGGCGGGCATTTCTTTTTTGTCACTGGTGGGAGCAGTTGTTTTACCCGCGAAGCAGCATAAACAGACGCTCCTTGTTTGACTAGCGTGTCGGCAATGCCCACGTGGCCCTCTTGCGCCACCAGATGGAGAGGGGTCAATCCATTCTGCGGACAATAAGAATTATGTGGTGAATACTACAACTGCCCTAACGGGTATGATTTAATATACGAGGCATCTGTGGTCCGTCTTATCTAACAGCCATTTATTCAGTCAGCTTGTAATCTGAATTCGAAGACTACCTTGTTTCCTAGATTTACGTTCGCTTGCTTGGAGATGAGTAGAGCCACAATGTCGGGCCGTCCCTCTTGTGAGGCCAAGTGCAGGGGCGTGATGCCTTGGAGGGACTCGGCATTGGGCGATGCCCCGTTCTGCAGCAGGCAACTGGCTACTTCCATCTGGTTCTGTTTGGCTGCTATATGGAGAGGGGTGTAACCATTCTGCAGAGAGACACGAGGAAGGACATTAAGGCAGGAGTGGACATTAGCTCACTGGTGGCTTTTTTTGGAGTGCACAAAGCAACCTCTGTGAACTAGCACTGACACTCAAAACAGCTGACAGCTCTAAAACTTTCATAGACACGATACAAAATCTTATACAGTCATCAGAAATGGTTGCAACGTGGCGACCAATAATGTACATGTCATAGTCGTGTCCAAATACTTTTGTCCACACTGTGTGTTTGTGTGTGTTTGTCTGCCTGGCCCTTACCCGAGCGTTGCTATGTGCGGATCCTCCTTTGCTGACCAGGAGTTTAACAACATCTAGGTTGTTGTGGTGAACTGCCACATGCAGGGCTGTCAGACCATTCTGTTGAATATACACATAAATGTACACATTAAAAAAATGAGACATGCAGTACATACATACGTACTCACCTTGCCGGCCGCATTGGGATTGGCACCTCTCTCGAGAAGGAGCTCCGCTACGTCTACTTTTCCGTATTTAGAGGCCACGTGGAGGGGGGTGAAGCCTTTCTGCTTAAGGGAAAACCAAAAACAATAATGAAAATCATCTCAGTTGAAATGAGACAAATGTTTTTTTTCTAAAAATCAGTTTTTTTTTTTTCCCCAAATTTTGATTTTCCAACTTATTTGGCTCCGTTTCAACCTCACCTTAGTCATTTTGGTCTGCTGTGCTCCAGCGTCCAACAAAATGCGAATGGTGTGGATGTGTCCTTCCCGTGCGGCGATGTGCAAGGGAGTGTGCCCTGCCGTGGTGGACGAGTCAGGGTTGGCCTTGTGTTCAAGAAGCAGCTTGACCAGCTCCTTGTGTCCCATTCGAGCCGCACAGTGAAGGGGAGTTTGGTCGTCCTGGTAAACAGAAAACAATGGGGCAAGGATAAAGGAAAAACTCAATTTATTAGGACTACGCAGATCAAAATAAGACTGCGTGTACCTTCGCCCTAGCATCCACTTGTGCTGAGTTCTGCAACAAAAACTGGGCAACTTCACAGTGTCCTGCTCTGGAGGCCATGTGGAGGGGGGTCTCCACCTTCTGGGTAAATACAGTATCGTTCTTGAAATTACACAGCTGGGTCACTTGGCGCATGGCTTGCTTAGTGGACTTGTGCCGTTGGTACAAAGGAAGTTCTTACCACATTGGAAGCATTAGGTGAAGCCCCTCTCTGGAGCAGGTTCTTCACTATGTTCAGGTGACCCATGAAAGCTGCTACATGGAGAGGAGTGAGGCCAGACTGCACAAATGCAGAAGGAAATAGGAAGACGGCTCAAGGTCATGTTTGTTCAAAAGAATCCTACGCTACACAAATCTAGAGCAACGGCTCACCTCCGTGACGGCTTCGAGGGAAGCAGAGTGTTTGAGCAGCAAATCCATTGAGCGCATATGGTTCTTCTTGCATGCAATATGGAGTGGTGTGAATCCATTCTGGAGAGAGTCCACAAAAGCAGGAAAATACGGACATCTGTAGAGCTGCGTCTCAATAAGTTTCAATGCTATAGAAAAGTCGACATTTTGGAAATACCGTATTTTCCACACTAAAAGGCGCACTGGATTATGAGGCGCATATTCAATGAATGACCTTATTTTTTTCATACATTGGGCGCACGGCACTATAAGATGCAATCTACAATGCATCCACTAGACGGAGCTCCTCTCAAGGAAACACCAGCAGAACGATCAAATGTCAGTAAAACTTATTTAAAACTCATTCACTCCCAAAGACGTTTTTAAACGTCTTTTCAGATTTGGTCCAGAATTAGCTGGTACTGAATGAGTTAATAAAGCAGTGACACAGTTGATTTAACCAACAGCAAGTTATAACATTGACTCGTTAACGTTGAGCTCTCTTGCCGCTGCTCTATTTCCGTGTTCAACTGCGTAATCGATCGCCTTAAGTTTAAACTCTGCGTTGTCAGCATGTCTCGAGCAAGGAGCCATTTTGGGGTCGAAATATTCCCAGAATGACCATACACAAGGCACATCAGATTTTTAAGCGTGCTGTGAGCTTTTATTAAAATGGATGGCTTTTGCGGAAAATATGGTAATGCTTATTGTGTGGTTTATATCGTAACTAAAAGGATTTTTGCATTTTCTTTAGATCTCAAGTGTCACCCTTTTTGAGCTTGATGAACTAAACAACAATAACAACAACAAGTAAACGTTACCAGAGCTCGAGCATTGGCTTTGGCCCCCTTGTCCAGAAGAACTTTGGCCATGCGATGGTGACCACAGTGGGCCGCTACATGAAGAGGGGTTAAATGGTCCAGCGTGATGTCGTCGATCTCGGCGTTGTATTGGAGTAGCTGTCTAACGCAATCCATGTGATCCCCCTGAGCTGCCATGTGGATGGGGGACAGACCATTCTGGGATGAGAGGAAAAAATAGTGTGAGAAACGGCAATTGATTGTGAGCTTGACTGAGCTGAGGTTTTGATGAAGGTGATGAATGTAGAAATATCGTTAGCTCAGTAAAGCTGAATTTACTCAGATTATACCGAAAGACGCATGTTGGAAAATTAGCAGCACTGGATGAAAGAATCTCACTGCGGGCCTCATATAATAAACGGCACCTTGGTTTTAGCTTGGATGGGCGCACCGTGTTCCAGCAGGATCTCAATGATGCGAACGTGTCCATTTCTAGCTGCACAGTGAAGCGGAGTCAATTCATCCTGCACACACACAAGCAAAAAAAAAAAAAAAAAGGACATTGGGGGCAAAAACGGAAA